TTCTTAGTAAAAAAAGCATTTCTGAAGTTACACACTAGTCAAATGATGACAAATAAGAGACCAATCAGGTCAAATCTGTGTTGTCAAATTTGATCTGATTGGTTTCCTATTTTTTTATTTTTTTAAAATCAGGTGATTCTGATTAATGATAAATAATGGTACAGATAAGATACAATAAACAATTAGGATGTTATAAAAATATCAATAGGGTTATTCTTATTGATATCAATTTATTAACATCTAATTTCTAATCAGGTTATCCCTAAGTCACTAATAGGGATATTCTTATTGTTACCTATTATACAAATAGCATATACTGATTGGTAATATTTTATCAAATTTTTATAATACAAATAATTTTATAATTGTTTATTTTATACAAGTAAGTAATCCCAATTAATTACAATAAAAAGAATTTAATTAATAATAAGCTTCTGATTGTTACAAATTTATTAAATTTAATTATTTACTATATTTGATAAGAAAAAAAGTCCACTTCTATTAAAAAAATAAATAAATTAGTAAAAACCTGAAAAACTACTATCCTGATTTGTAGACTTACCTTAATTAATAGCAAAAAAATCCATTTCTATTAAAAAAAGAAAAAAATTGGTAAAAATCTGAAACCCACCATAAAAAAGCTACTTAAGAAAGAAGATTTAGTGAAAAAATAAGTAAAAAATCTGCTGAAAAAGTCCCAAAAAGCTACTTACTATATCTTATCCAAAAGAATGAATGTTTACTATAAAAAAAGAAAAAATATTAATGAAAACTGAGAAAAAACCATTTCTAAAAAAAAGAAAGAGAAAAAAGAAAAAGAAGAAAAGATAATTTCGATTTCCTAAAAAAGGTTAAATATACAGTCGTCTCCCTTTATAGTCACACCCTTTAGGACCAAAAATAAAAGTATAATTATAATAAAAAGTTACTATACAAAGGGATTTTATTTATTGTTACTAAGCGTTGGTTCTGGAAGGGTGTGATTATAAAAACACTGTGATTATAATGAGTTTTTTTATATTGTATTAATAGGTATTAGTTCTTACGAAATGTGTGCTTATAATGAGGAATTTATATGATATAATTGTATAGGGGGTGACTATAGAGGAGGACGACTGTATATATTTTATGTTTTACTATGATATATAAGATTAATAGTAAACAAATAATAATAAAAGATAATGGAAAATAAAAATTATCATTGAATATGATATTTCACTACAAAACAATAAAATTCGTCTTGAATTGACAAAATTTCACCTTCAAATAACAAAAATTGACTTCAAATGCGAAATTTGTAACAAATTGTTAACAAGTTCATTACCTAATTAATGAATTTCATAATGATTTGTTAACAAAATTCATAACAAAATTAATCATTTATAAAATTCATAAAATGAAAATAACGAATCATTTACGAAATTCGTAAAATGAAAACGTAACAAAATGAATCATTTAAAAAATTCATAAAATAAAAGCATAACAAAATGAATCATTTATGAAATTTGTAAAATGAAACGAATTTTAAACAAATTTGTAACAAAATTCGTAAATAAAAACGTAATGAAACAAATCATTTACGAAATTCATAAAATGAAAATGTAATGAAATGAATCGTTTACAAAAATTGTAAAATGAAATTCATAACGTAATGAATCATTTACGAAATTTGTAAAATGAAAACATTATAAAACGAATCGTTTATGAAATCGTAAAATAAAACAAATTGTTAAACAAATTCGTTAATAAAAACTGAAACGAATTGTTTAAATGAATCATATTACAGATTTGTTAACAAATCATTAAACAGAATTCATTTAACGAAACTAAAGCGAATTGTTTAAACAAATCATATTACAGATTTGTTTAACAAAAACTGAAATGAATTATTTAAACAAATCGTATTATAAATTTATTTAATAAAAACTGAAATGAATTGTATTATGTATTTGTTTAACAAAACTTGAAACGAATCATTTAAACGAATCATATTACAGATTTATTAACGAATCATTAAACAGAATTCGTTTAATGAAACTGAAACAAATTGTTTAAATAGAATTCATTGAACGAAACTGTAATGAATTATCATAGCAAACCATTAATAAATTTTGTTAACAAAACTTATCAGCGAATTGTTACTAATCAGTAAATTCTAATTGAATAATAATCATCAATCAGATATTAAATCAATTGATAACTAATTATTAATTGAACCAGATTTTTACTATTGAACTTATAGTTTACAATTTATTAAAATAAGTATAAAATCAGGTTGGAACCCAATTTATGTAATTCTACCTAATTATTATGAATTGGGTATTAACTGATTCATATCCGATTGTAGTATCTAATGATTTCTATCTACTGATTGCTGATCAAAAAAGTTACCAATTGGAAAGGTAACCAATTGATTAGCGTTCGACCTGTAATAGAAAGTAGAATTAGAAAGGTCTATTCTAGTCTAATCATAGTTCTAGGACTTGCAAGTTCTATTATTAAGACTTATGACTTAGTCTTTAATAACTGGTCTTATGACTGATTTTGAAACCAGATCTAAAACCAGTCCTTTTATATAAACATTTAAAAAAATTTATTACTAAAAAATAGCATAAAAATTTATTTATATATTTTAGTATAATATGATGAAAAACAAACAAAATTCTTCACATAATCTGATTTTCATAAACTTATACTTCGCTTCAGACAAAGAAAAATTCAAATTTAATAAAGAAAGTAATAAATGTTATTGATTTATTATAAATTTTGGATCTTATTACAATTCATTTATATACTTCTATTTATTATTTATTTATATTAATTTTTCTTCAATATTATTAGCAATCCAACTCTTTATACATAAAGATACTTTGGCTATTGCAGGATGTAATCTATTATGTATTTTAGTAATGATATTTGTTATAATAGAAAATACCTGTTTACAAGCTACACTTGTAGCTTAAATTGATAACTAATCTCATACAATGCAAGATAAAAATAGGAAATTCCCTCTGATTATCTTGCCACCATATTAATGGCATTACATTTTCATCACATGGTAAAGAAATATAATGATTCAGTTCAGAAGCAATTGAAGGGTTTGTTTCATTATTATTTTATGGTAATAAAAAGACAGCATCAATATAACAACGTTTTACATTATTAAACCAATTCTGCATTGTAGATTTAGTATCCTTAATATTAGTATGTGTAGGTGGAATTAGTAAAAATAAATAATATCTATTTATAATTGTTCAAAGATTATTTAATACATCAGTTGTTGGTTATCAACTTTTAAAAAATGCAAGTTTTATATGCGAATCTAAATTGCTACAATATGAGTTGCTGAATCAACAATATCCCAATATTCACTAATTTTTTGATTGATTGAAGAAGCCATCATTGATTGACTAAAATTATTTTATTAATATAGAATTGAAAATATTTTTGTATTTCCATTATTAAAAATAAACATCAGCAATTGTTAAATATAATGTTGCAGAAAGTATAACAATAGCTTTTTCTGATGATTCTAATAAAATAATTGTATCTTTTATTTATAAAATTAAGTTAATTTATATTATACTGTATTAATAAAATAAAAAATAAATAACTAATAATAATTTTTTTCTTACCTGAATTTTTATCTAACCTGCTGTATCTGAAAGCAAATTTCTTATTACTGGATATTTTACTTCAAGTAAATGTAAAATGGATTCCATTTGTTCAAATCTTTGTAACATATAATATATAGAATTCCATCAAGTTTCTACATCACATGTAGGATTCTGAAATTGAATGGATTTTATTGATAAAGATTTCAAAATGCATCATACATTAGAATCAAATTTTTAAGTTTACCTATTAATTCTCTAATATTAACAACCTCTTTATAAATTAATTCTAATCCTTGTTTTGTATCTAAATTAAAAATATATGCAGAATACCAGTAATATCAAAAGATCAAGAAATTAAAATCTTGCTGAATTTGATTTGCTATTTCATGATCACATATAATCATAGCAGACTCATTATCAGTTGTAAGTTCAAGAGTTTTGTTCATTAGTTCAAATTCATTAAATATTATAATAATATGTTCTGCTATGTCAATTTATGTATGTCTTACTTTAAATGTATTATATCCAATAAAAAATGACACAAAACCCATTCATCATCATCTACATAATAAATAGATAAACCCAAAAATGCTTCTATTATTAATGTTGATGTCTATATATCTGAAGTTAATGAAACTTTTTCAGGAATCTGTTTGAGATCATTAATAATTCTAGAATGACGTAATTCAAAGTGTGATATTAGTGAAGTAATCCAGATAATTTGCAGATGTAAATTAATCATTCGCTAGATAAAAAATAATCTGAATGGTTATTATATATCTGCAAAAATCTGAATAAATGATTCACAAATTATGTGTTAAATATTCGTAAATGATCAACAGATCACAGATAATTGATAATCCACAAATATTTGCATATCTGTGAATCATCTGTGAATTTCTCCTTTTTTTTTTATAAAAAGTTCTTACTGTTTACAATAATAAAATTATTTTTACAATTCATGGCTTGACATTTTATTTCAACTTAATATTTTATTTAAAATAATATTTTATATTTAGTTTTCATTTATAGTTTCATTTTATTATAATTATATTAGTTATAAAAAAGTATAAACCAAATTTACAATATTTTTGAAGAAGGATGAATACTTTTAACAAATGATGCATTTTTCTTTAAGAACATAAGCTTATTAAACAGTTCAGAATTAAAACGTATTCTTTTTGCTGTCAATAAATTTCTGGTATCACTAAATAACCTTTCACTTAGAGTAGAAGTAGCTGTAATAGGAAGGTAAATTCTAGCTAATTTTGAAAGAATTGAAAATTGTCCTCTGTAATTATACCACCAAGTAAAAGGATCTAAATCAAAATCCAATTCAGGTAAAGATAAGTAAGTAGTTATTTCATTATCTTGTATGATTTTTCATTTAAAAATTAAAAATAGAGAGGATTGGTTAGATAATAATGTTGAAGAAGCAGCAGGTATTGTTAAAGGATTAGCTTTAAGTTGATCATATTTGTTTTTTAATAAATCCTTTGTTTTATTGCGAATTTCATTATCATCAATAAATTCAAGAGACGTAATTCTAAGATTAAGTAATGCTAAAATAAGAGTCTCTTCTTCTTTTTTTGTTCCAATATAATTCCATTGTATTATACAAATTAAGTTTTACTTTTTCTAATATTCTGGTAGTATTAAATGGTTCATTCAGGTTTAGCCTTTTTTCTAATGCATTTTTTATATTTTCACATTCAGCTTTCTCTTCTTCTTCTTCCTTTGCAAAGACATCAGCAATTTCTTTTATATCTACATATTGAGATCTTATATTTTTTGGTTTTATGCATTTTTAATTTCTTTTAATAATGGACTTATAATACTATGAGTCACATATTTATTTGCACCTAAATAAGTTGTGGTTTCAGCAAATTCTTTCAAAATTACATACAAGTCTTTTAGCAACTTCCATTCATTTTTAGTTAGTATAATTTCAGAAAGTCGTTGGCCATCTTTTCTTGAATCTATATCATTAGAAATTGGTAAAGTTATTATAAGAATATCAATATATAGCTTAATTTCTAAAAGTCTCTTCCAGGCTAAAAAACTTGAATTCCATCGGGTAGCAACATCTGCAATACAATGACACAGGTATATGCTTATTTTTCCAGGATTCTAAAATAATTTAGTAATAGTTATTTTTATTTTTTAAAAAATTCAATGTTTTTGAAATACATGCCATATTAGCTGACTTTCAACATTTATTTGAATATTTTCTAGCCTTTCTGATTGTTTAGGCCTTATGAAGAAGTCAATTAATTGTTTGGCTCTTAATACAAGCAATTTTACACATGCTAGCCCTTTTCCTATAACCAGTTGTAATGTATGTGCAGTGCAAGGTTGCCAGGTAATATTTGGAGAAATTTCATTCATATTTTTAATTGCTCTTTTCATATTCGCGCCATTGTCTGTAGTAATTATATTAATCTTTTCTCTTAACATCTATTGATCTAATAATTCACATAGGATATCACTAATATGATCTGCTGTATGTGGATATCGAACATATGTAACTGTGAAAACAAGTTCATGTAATTGAAAATTTTTATCTAAAAAATAGCATGTAACTCCAATATAGTCTTGCTGGTTCTGAGTAGTCCAAAAATCAGTAGTTAAGTTAACTGAAATTGTGTGATCTTCAATATATTGAATGATTAAGGGAAATATATGATTATACGCGTAATGAATAATTTGTTTCATTAATTTTACATCAGGTACAATAAAGCCAGGATCCAAATCATATAAAAACCCTAAACATTTCACTCTAAACAAGTTTAAGTAGTATTGAATCAGCAAGAATCCAATTAATAAGAGATTGTCAAAGTTGTATTTGCTTGACTTCTTTATGTGATCTTATTTTATTTGTAAGAGTAGTTTGGATCTATTTTTTAAAAAATTTTAATATGTTTTATATTACTTGTTACTGTTATAAAAGCAAAAATATTAACTTACTGATTTTTTTTTTATATCTGTATTTTCAGTAATTTGATGTGATCCAGCAAGATGCATGATTAGATTACTTGTTGAGTTTTCATTTAAATAGAGTTTTCTGCAAAGTTTTTCATCTGTTATTTTAACTAAACATTCTGCACCTGTATTTCCGTTATCAAGTAATACAAGTTCCTACCATTTCCACACCCAGCTTTTAATTTTATGTGTTTTTTCAAGTGTTCTTACTTTTTTGGAAACGTGTTCTGATGATTTTTGTTTTTTTGAGCATTTATTAGAAGGTTTAAGAGTGAGTTGATTAGATGATTCTTTTTCGTTATCATGATCACTAAGCAGAATAGTTTCTTTCGTCATGTTAACTAACTTTAAGAAAAAGAATATTTTGTATAAAAAAAGAAAAGTTGCGTAAGAAAAATACTTTTGAATTTACACAATCATATGATGTAATCATTGTAAGTTATCTGATATTCCAATTTCAGATATTAGATTGGTAAAGTATTTCTGAAAAGGGTTGGAATAGTGAGACAATAATCTTAAAATGTAAACCAAAAGTGAGGAAAGATTAAGCTTAAAAGTAAATGTTAATAAATGATTGAATTTATGTATTAGGTCATTTAGATCAATTTTCAAAGTTTTCGATTTTTTTTACACTTAATTTTTGCTTTTTTTGCAATAATTTATTAGAATATAAAATAAATTTAAACTATAAACTTAAAATATATAAAAACTAGCTAAAAATTAAAAAATAGAGTATTATAAAATAATTATTTGAAATATAAAATCACATGATTTGAATGTGAACTTAATTCACAATTTCATCATATGATTAACATTATTGTTTTATTAAAATCTCTTCAATTATATACTGAATTTCTTTACTATTTAATTTTAATATATCTGATGTAGAAATTGATTTGATTCTTATTAATTTTTCTTCACCAACTTGGTTAAAAAGATTATATATCTTTTTTACTTTTTCTTTTCATTTTCTAAGATTATCATTAGTAATATTATTTGGAAGTTGTTGTCTTATTTCTACATTAACTGCTTTTTGAGCTTCATATTCCAAATAAAATTTTTTATGAAATTCCAATCTTTCTAAAGAAACTTTGCTAAATAAATAATAATATTTAATAACTTCTTGGTTTGAAAGTCTATTTTGAATGTTAGCATTTATAATTTTATAATATAAATTGTAAAATTGATTTGCATATTGATTTTTATTTTTATTTTTATTCATTTTCATAATTTCACAAGATAAATCCAAAGTATTTGATGTTAATTCTTGAATTAATGTAATATGTTTAGGTTTTTTTAATGCTTTTACTTTTTTAAAACAATTTATAATTTCAGTTTGTTTAACTAAATTTTGTTCAAGAAAATTATTACAAATAGGACATTTTGGATGGATGCTAGGAAAAAGGACCAAATCGACAAAAAATTTTTTTGAAATAACAAATAATCTGAATCAGATGACCAAATCTGCATCTATTTTACTTAGGAATTTTTTTTTAAAAAAAAATCAATTTGGTCTATTTTCCCAGCATTCACCCCATTTATTTAAGCATATATATAACAAAACAATCCCAATAAAATATATGACCACAGGAAACTGTAATAAATAATTTGTGTAATATAGAGGAAATTGCTAAAATCTCTTAATTGCATAAAGAACAAGGATCTGGAGTTTGATTTTCATTTTTTTTAATTATTTCTTTAGGGATTTGTTTAAGATAATATAACATAAACTTTATAACAGAATCAGAAGAAAAATCCATTTTTATGAGAATTATAAATTGTACCGGTAATTTCAAAATACCTTTTTATTTATAACAATAAAATTTTTCCATATTAATTTGATCCGTTTATTTGTTTATAGATTAAAAATCCTAATTCATTATTATATGTTTTTTATTTTTCATATTAGCAGACTTTGAAATAATTACATAAAAATTTTGCAATTATGCAATTACTTTTCAATTTATGGTAACGTCAGTTTTTATTTTCTCACATTAGCAGATCGCAATCACATACACAGTTTATGGTAACGATCAGGAAAATAAAAAATGTAGTGTAACTAACAGATTTGCAAAATTTGTTTTAAAAAAAAACCTATTATTTTTATTTACCTCTCTTTTGGTAATGTCAATATTATTGATTGCTCCTCTAAGGGATTGGCTAAAAAAATAAAAAATAATTTATTTTTCTTGTAAAAAAAATATTCATTGAACTTTATTTGGTCTCCTTAGAGTTCTGGATTGAATGATAGAACAAAAGTAAGTTATTGTGTTTTTTTTTAAAAAAAGTTAAAATAAAAAAAAATATAAATAATTTTTACTTATCTCTTATTATAAATACCGAAGTCATAGAATTATTATTGATAGATCAGAGGTGAGTTAATATATTTTAAAAAAAAAAAATATTAAAAAAATAAATTCATTAATTATTTCTTACCTTTTATAGATGCTAAAGTCTTTTCCAGAATCCTGGAATCCTAAATTGAAAGATAGATAAGTTGTTAATTATTTCTTTTAAAAAAATAAGTAAAATATTTATTGATTTCTTACCTTTTTTGTAGATGTCGAAGTTGAAATCCTGGATTAAATATAGTAAGTTTGATAAGTTTATATTTTTTCTTTAAAAAAAAAAATAAAATTATTTAAAAAAAAAAGTTTTCTTATCTCTTTGTAAATGCTGAGGTCTCTGAGGTCTCTCCTAAATCTTGAATTATGTAAGATAAGTTTTTCTTTTTTTTTTAAAAAAAAATAAAATTATTTAAAAAAAAAAAATAATACTTACCTCTCTTTGTAGATATCGAAATCCTTCTAGGAATCTGAGAATTCTAGATTGAAAGATGAAGGTAAATTGTTATTTGTTTTAATGGTAAAATAAATTTATTGAATTTTCTTACCTTTCTTTGTAAGTGCTGAAGTTTAGAATTCTGATTAATTATATAAGATAAGTTTATTTTTTTTCTTTAAAAAAAAAAAAAACTTATTTAAAAAAAATATTTTCTTACCTGTTTGTAAATGCTGAGACCTCTTCTAAATCTTGGATTATGTAAGATGTTTTTCATTGTTTTTAAAAAAAATTTACTAATTTTTTACTTACCTTCTTTGTAGATGTTAAAGTCTTCCGGAAATGGAATCCTTCCTGAATTGAATGATGGATTAGAAGTTATAAATTAAGTTTATCTGCTTTTAAAAAAAAAAAAATTATTTAAAAAAAAATGCTTACTTCTCTTTATAGATACCGAAGTCCTTCTGGAAATCTGAGAATTTTGGATTGAAAGGTGAAGGTAAGTTGTTATTTGTTTTAATGGTAAAATAAATTTATTGAATTTTCTTACCTTTCTTTGTAGGTGCTGAAGTTTAGAATCCTGGTTAATTATATAAGGTAAGTTTATCTTTTTTCTTTATAAAAAAAAAATAAAATTATTTAAAATAAAAAAATTTTCTTACCCATTTGTAGATGTTGAGGTCTTTTCTAAATCTTGAATTATGTAAGGTGAGTTTTTCATTGTTTTTTAAAAAAATTTACTAATTTTTTACTTACCTTCTTAGTAGATGCTGAAGTCCTTCCGGAAATTGAATTCTTCTTAAATTGAATGATAGATTAGAGGTAAGTTATAAAGTAAATTTATCTGCTTTAAAAAAAAAAAAAATTATTTAAAAAAAAATGCTTACCTCTCTTTGTAGATACCAAAATCCTTCTGGAAATCTGAGAATTCTGGATTGAAGGATGAAGGTAAGTTATTATTTTTTTTTTTTAAAAAAAATGGTAAAAAAATTTATTGATGTTTCTTACCTCATTGAAGATGCTGAAATTTGGAATCCTGAATTAATTATATAAGGTAAGTTTATCTTTTTACTTTAAAAAAAAAAATAAGAATTATTTAAAAAAAAATTTTCTTACACATTTGTAGATGCTGAGGCCTTTCCCAAATCTTGAATTATGTAAGGTGAGTTTTTCATTGTTTTTTAAAAAAAATTTACTAATTTTTTACTTACCTTCTTAGTAGATACTGAAGTCTTCCTGAAAATTGAATTCTTCTTAAATTGAATAATGAATTAGAGGTAAGTTATAAAGTAAATTTATCTGCTTTAAAAAAAAAATAAAATTATTTAAAAAAAAATGCTTACCTCTCTTTGTAGATACCAAAATCCTTCTGAAAATCTGAGAATTCTGGATTGAAGGATGAAGGTAAGTTGTTATTTTTTTTTTTAAAAAAATGGTAAAAAAATTTATTGATGTTTCTTATCTCTTTGAAAGTGCTGAAGTTTGGAATTCTGAATTAATTATATAAGGTAAAGTTTATTTTTTTTCTTTTTATTTAAAAAAAAAATTTCTTACCTCTTTGTAAATGCCGAGGTTTTCTCTAGTCTATGACATTAATTAATCATTCCACACAATATATAGTTCTTGAATTATAAATTTTATAACCAAAAAAAAAAAAATTTTTTATTTAAATTTTAAAGCTTATCGTTATATGAAAAAAAATATTTATATGATATATAATTAAAAAAATAAAATAGTTTTTTTCGACACTACCAAATTTATAATATGATGCATTATTTTGATTAATACGATATTTTATTTTTATTGGTAATGTATTATATTTTATATAATACCTCTATAAATTACATTAAACATATTCACAAATTGATCTACAAATTATAAGATAAATTTGCAAAATATTTGTGAATCATTCATGGAAATCTGTAATACTTAAAAATGATCTGGATATCTGAATATGCATTATTTGCATGGATTACTATTTACGGATCGCTTCTCTAAATCCAATCATAATAAAAATTTATATACACATATTTTCAGACTCACTGAGCAACTTTACTTATGTAATAAAAGTCGATTTTCTTTGACCAAATTGCTCAAATATCTCTTTGAAGTAATTGAACAGATAAAAAAAAATTAAAATTAAATTGTTGAACAATATAATTGCAAAAATGTTTATAATTTAAAATTTAACTTTTTAATTATAATAAATTACAAAGTAATTATAAAAACAACATTATTAGAATATAAAAGAAAGTATATTAAATAAAATTAAATATGTTTATAAAAAAAAAATAGACAAAAAAAAATTTTTTTTAAATATTTTATTTCGTTTAATTTGATTGGTTGAATTTTATCAGGTCAGGTCATAAGCTTAATCTGACCTAATGTTAACCTGAAAATTTGTCTACCTGACTTGGATTTTTCAGGTTGGGTTGGGTCAGGTCACAGGTTGACCTGACTTGATTCAGAGCTCTAAGAGAGATAGTAATAATAGTAATAAGTTAAAAATATACTGCATTCTGATTCTTGAGAGAAGAGAGAAGAGTCAATTTAGT